AGGTCCTGAAGCACCTTCCCCGGGTCTCGGCAGAGGAGGAACAGGACTGAGCCAAGCCCATGCTCCTGACTAACCTTCACCTCGCCTGGCTGTCCTCCGCACGTGCTGTGGCGGGAGTATTTGGGGATCTTCTCACTGAGCTATTTAATGAGTGAAACTTTCCGATCGTGGACTGCTAGGGACGCATTCTGTGGACGGGGGCTGGGGTGCTGTTTTAAACACTGCTGAGAGTCTGGGCAGCACCCATCTGGCAGGCGGTTTCTTCCACTCAGACCCATCAGGCACTGCACACATGCAGCCTGTAGGCAAGTGTCATTAAAGCTCGAGAATCCCAAAATAACCTAACATTTAAATACGTTATTTCCGTTCTGCTCTTGGTCTGACAGCACATTCCCAGGTCCAGGTTCGGCTCCCCCTGCGTCTGCCTCTGCCTGGCCCCTGGGTGAGCCCCTGTCCAAGGCGGCAGGATGTGAATAAAACACATTCATCCAACCATCGGGTCTTCAAGCATCCGTTTCCTAGAGAAATAGGCAGGAGACAGACAGGAAGTGTGGTACATGACTAAAGAGATGATGGTGGTGACAGATAGATCATAGAAAGATTGATTGATGGGATGATAGGTACGTAGATAATAATGATAGGTAGATAGATAATAGAAATAGATAAATAGTTAATATAAAGATAGATTGATGGATGGATGCTAGATAAGTAGAAAATAGATAAAGATGAATAGATAAATACATAGCTAAAATGTTTGCTTCCTTAAAAAACGGGTGAAAGCAGAACCTGTCTTGGCGAGAACCTCAGGAAAGGACTTCGGAGTCAATGTTCTCTGCCAGGGAGCGACACATTTCAAACGTGAGATCACGGAGGAAAAAAGTAGCATTAGCATGGTCAACATCTACAGCTTCCCAGTATCCGCTCTCTGTGTTGGAGGAGTAACTCTGTTCTAAGTGGCCCGATAGTCCTGGACCCAAGTTCAATGTGCAGACAAGAGCCCTGTGTGGCGCCTCCAGCTGGCCTTACATTAGATCCCCCTCGTCTGCCTTCTCTCTTTTTATTTTTTTTAAATATGTTTTTATTGATTTTTTTAGAGAGAAAGGAAGGGAGAAGGAGAGAGAAACATCAATGAGAAAGAAATATGGATCAGCCGCCTCCTGCATGCCCCCCACTGGGGATCGGGTCCACAACCTGGGCATGTGCCCTGACCGGGAATTGAACCGGTGACCTCTTGGTGCAGGGTCGATGCTCAACCACTGAGCCACACTGGCCGGGCTTTCTTCACTGGTTTCAATGGAGCATTTTATATGATTCCATCTTCTCTTCTCTCTTAGCATATCAATTATACTTCTTTTCAAAAACATTTAGTGTGGCCCTAGAGTTCACAATACACATTTCAGACTAAGTCAGGTCAATCTCCACGTGACACTGCATCATGTCATGTGTGCAGGGACCTGTGACAGCTCCCAGTTCTTCCCTACCGGCCTCAGGACATTGGTGTCATTCATCTCTCTCACCCCTTGGCTGTGGTCACCCAACACATCACCGCTTTATTTTTAAAGTTACCTTTTAGATCAATTAAGATTAAGACACAAAATATTTTAACATTATTCTAGCTCTGTTTGCTCTTCTCCAATGTTCTCCTTCTTTACATACACTTACATCTCTAACCAACATCACTTTCCTTCTTCGTGAAAACTTCATTCAACATTCCTTAGAGTAGTTCCGCTCATGTTCATGTTCCTCCCTTTTGGTTTCCCTGACAAAATCTCCGTGTCCCCTTCGCTTTTGAAGGATAACTTCACTGCACTTAGAATTCTAGGAGGGTGGTCATTCCACTCTTCTTTTTCGAGGAACCTCTTAACTGTTTTAAGTAAGAACAATACAATAACTAGAAAAAGGTCAGTGCCTCAGGGACTTTAAACCACATCAATTTCAGTATTGTTTTTCAAAATAATGATCAGTTATATCTTGCTTCTGTGACAAGAGTGCAATAGAGTATCCTTTCCTGAATAAGGAGCTGAAGTTTATTCAAGTGGAAGCTTTAAATAAGGTAGATTGTTGCCAACTACATATCAATCTTGCATGTGATGTAAAATATATCAGGAAAGCTTAAACTGCCTTGTAAGTCTACATTCAGCTAAGGCCTCACATAAGCAGCAATGGAAATAAACAGATATTCAATATAAAGCACTTTTCAAAACAACTCCAAAAAACAAATGACAAAATGTGGTTAAGAACAACTGAACACCTGTTGTGTGTACCAGATGTAAAAGAAGAATGGACCCCATGGCTACTTGCACTGCTTGAATTACGTGAAGGTAAAGTTAAGACTTAGTCCACTTCCATCTCTCCAGAAGACTTAGTATGCGGTGAGCTGTCTTCTGTGGTATCGGATTTAGTTTCGGTCCCACTCTGCCCATCCATCTGTCCACTGTGTTCACTATTACCTTTTGCATTGTCTTCTGCAATCTCTACTTTGGGTTTGGGTTTGTATATGATGGGGTTACAGAAATTATCCAGTTCCTTCGACTTTGCAACTATTTCTGAAACTTTCACCACAGGATCTTGAGTGAGACTTAATTTATTTTGTGCATTCATCTTACTGTCCAGCCAATTCATGGCGTCACTGAGGTGTTTTTCCACTTTTTCCATGTCAGCAGGATCCAAATGATCATCTTCATCTTTGTTTCTGTGGGCTTCTGTCTCTTTCATGACAAGCTGGGTCTTCCTTCCCAGGTCGGTTAAAGCTTCTGGTCTCTCTTCATGTTCCATGTATCTCATTTGAACAGACTGACCATATTACTTTAGTTCTTGAAGCTTGTCCACATAAATTTATTTATGTTGGTCTTCTCCTTCTTCATAAAGCCAATTTTCTGTGTCTCCCAGTACTGCAGACAGTTTATTCAAGTCTTCTTGAGTGATGAATTTTTCATAGACAGTGCCCAGCTTGTCTCTAAAAATCATATACTTCAATATATATATACACATATACATATACATATATACATATAATTATTCTTCGCCACTTGTCCACTTCTTAAAACAATGTATGCTTTTTACTACCATCATTGCTGCAAGAACAGTAGCAGCAAGTGCAAACAGAGCTCCTGCTGCTGTTACTAAGGGGACCATGAAGCCTGTTTTCAAGGGCATACTGAGAAACGGTGGTGCACGGGATTGCTCTCACTCCGGTCTTTCCACGTGGAGCCACAGCTCTGCTCCCTTCAGAAGCGCACGGAGAAACAAGCTCTGCCGAGGCCGCGCCAGGGACCCCTTCCACTCTCCCTACATGCACAGTTTCTGATGAAAAGTCCACTGTCATTACTCCTTTTTCCTCCAGCTCTTTTCAAAATTTTCTCTTCGTTTTTGGTTTATTACCATTTGAATATGACAAGTCTAGGAATAGAGTTTCTGGGTATGTTTTGTGCTTGGTAACCCGTGAGTTTTCTGGATCCGTGGTTCAGTGCATGTCATTAAGTTTGGAAATGTCTTTGCCATCATTACTTTATTTCTTCTAGCGTTAGAGAATGGTGTTTGCTTATATATAGACCATGTATGGAAAGGTCCCACAGTCCTTGGTGTTAGTTTTCCACAGTTGACAGCTGGTGGGGATGTTCCCTTTTCTGCAGCGACAGTGGGAGCACACCTTGTGTGTAAACCCTTGGGCTGGGCCCACCGCTCCTCCATCCCATCCCCCCAGCGGGGCTCTGTGAGCACAAACACTCCTATTGCTGACCTTTCCCTGCCCCACCCCCCCAGAGACTGTGTTTTTTTTTTAAATGTTTTTTATTGATTTTTTTTTAGAGAGAGAGAGAAACATCAATCAGCTGTCTCCTGCACGCCCCTCACTGGGAACCAAGCCCGCACCATGGGCATGCGCCCTGACAGGGACTCAAACCAGGGACTCGGTCCACGGGTCTGCACTCAATCCCCTGAGCCACGCTGGCCAGGTGAGACTGTGCTTTTATTAACATGATCGTTTTTCTCTCACTGCTTGGCTCCGAGGCGTTTAGTCCGAGGTGCGGTCTCCTCCCCGTGCAGCCAGAGGTGTTTTAAACACGGGAGAGGTGTTTTTCCGTGCCTTGGCCTCAACGCCCTGTTTTCAGATTGCTGGTGAACGCGGGCAGTTCTGTCCACAGGTTGTAGTCAGGATTCACTGTGTGTTGGTCGCTTCCCAAGGGCAAAGCGCGCGCCCAGCTATGCTTCTGAAGAGTAGAAAGCTCAGAGTTCTGTGACCTCCGAGTGAGAAGTCGCATGTGAGTGACTCGGCTGCTGAGAAGCTCGTGATGCTGAGAAACAACGATCGAGGAGGTCAGTGGGCAGAGATTGGGTTCGCCTGGTGTGATCGGAGCTGCGCGGGAGACAGGAGTGCGGTGCCCTGGGGCCAGGTGACCAGGACGACTTTAGTAAAGGAAGATGGACAGGAGTGAGGGGACACGTAAGAGCCACCTCCATGCTGGGCTGGTCCGGCGAGGCGGGCACGTTACCAGGACCCGGAGAGCTGTGGCGGCTGTATTGTTAGTACCGGGCTGCGTGCCGGGAGCTGTGGACGCCGGGAGGAGCAGCCCTTGCTAACCTGAGTCCTGGCAGGGTGAGGACGTGGAAATAAGTACCGCAGCCTCGCTGTCCTCCGCTGTCCGACTTCCGCTGGTGGTTCCCACCGGCTGAACCCAGATGGATGTTGGAGGGCACGTGGCATAGTACAGCCTCCTGGCAGCAAAGGGTGAGGAACAAACAGAGGACACTCAGGCCAAAGAGAGTCTGCACGTGTGGAGTCTGGGGGAGTCCCCGGGCACTGAGACTCCTGGTCCCTGGTGGGAGGGGGAGGCGGGAGCAGACGTGGAGCCTGTCGCCGCCCCGTCTCGACTCGGCACCCTCACCTGAGCTCTCGCCAACGGGGAGCAATCTCGGAAGCAGAGGAATGGTCATAGTTTATGTTTATATTTTTAAGATTTGGGTGGGAGAAGAGGGAGACAGGCAACTCTTCTCTCTCACAGCCTCCTGGCAGCGACAGGAGGAAACCGCCGGACCGCCACCGTGGTGGCCCACGGCTTCGCCAACCTTCTGAGTCTGGACAGGAAGGCCCTCCGAGAAACCCTGGTGCATTACCCAGATTCGGAACAGCTGCTGGTGAGGAAAGCCAGGTACAGCCTCTAGAACCCCTCAGAGAGAAGTCGGTGTGGCTTTGTGACACCCAAGGGGAAACCGGTACGGGACCGCAGTGATCTGCCCTGTCCACGGCTCACAGGTACACGCGCGGGGCAGCTGTGCGTGGAGACCACAGAGCAGAAGAAACGCCGGTTCCAGTAGGTGTGCCCGCAGCCTCCGTGCTCACACCGCCTCTCTCTGCCAACAGAGCGCTCCTCCACAAGAAGGCGCCAGCCACAGGGCACCCTTTCCAACAGGAAGGCTCGCCTTCCTCTTCCCAAAACCAGAGACACCACGCTGCTCCCAGCTCCCCTGGGAGGCGCAGCTGCTGAGGGTGAGGAGGGAGCAGAGCGCTCAGGTGAGCAGGGGCACGAGGCGGGGACGGGAGGGCGCGGGGCCAGCGCCTCCAGACAACTCCCACTCCCCCCAGCTCCGACACTGGGAGCACGCCTTTGTATACAGCAGTGGTGACTACTGAAACCCGTAGGTCATCCTGTTTCATCTTCGCAGGTTTAGCACGGTGGTCTCAATGCAGATGTAAATGTAGTCGACCACAATTATTTGTGGGTTGTGTACTTGCAAATCTGCCTACTCAGTAATATTTACTTGTAACCACGCTGAGACTCACGGTGTGTCCGTGGTCCTTTGCAGACAACACGTCCAGGGAGCAAACACCTCCACTGCCCTGTGCACCGGCTTCTAGCCAACCCCACTGCAGCTGACCCTACACAGGGCACATCAGGGCTATTCGAGTGCCGACTGCCATCTGTGCTCCTAGGGCGGAGAGGCTTGGGTGTGCCTGGGGGAACCGGTGTGCTCACTGAGCCTCACGCAGGCACGCGTGTGGTGCTGTTGGCCATGGCTTCCCTGGGACGGCTCCGCAGCTCTATTAACTCAGAGCCTCTGAACAGAAATGCCCCAAACAAGGCTCTGTGTTGACCCGGTGACCAAACTGTTATGTCCAGAGGCTCCAGGAAGCGAATCCCGGTCCCCCGGGCAGGGGGTCGGTGTTTGTGAATTCAGTGCCCCGGGCGGCGCTGGGACACCACCCCGCGGACAGTGAGAATCAGCAGCATGGGCCCCACACGCCTGTGACCAGCCCGCCTTCCGCAGCAGGCTGGGGCGGGATCACAGGAGCCTTCGGTTAGTGGCACAGGGCCGAAGCCTGCGACACCGCCCGGTTCCCGCGGACTCTCCCTCGGAGCCAGACCCTGTCCTAGCGATGCCGAGAAAGTCGGTGTCGCTGCTGTTCTGTCCCCCTATTTCTCTGATTCCCATAATAAGTCTCGGGGGGCAGCTGCTGGTGAGCACAGGGCCGTTCCAGGGTGTCTGAGCCTCACGTCATCTTATTTCCGTAACTGGAGGGCGGGTCCGTGTGGCTGTTCCAGAAAACAGGGAGCGCACACTCCCCCCCTCCACCGGCCCACTGTGGTGAGGAGTCGGGGTTCAGGGTAACCCCAACGCCTCATTTAATCAGCATAATGCAACGTTTGTATAAGGACTCACGGGTGAGCCACATGTAAGATACTGTGTAAGTGGGATTCATATGGCACCTTTCCGCCTGGCACAGGCGGGCACCGCACCACACGGGGGCACAGTAGGTTTTCACGTGAAGTTTCTACAACAGCTTTTAACGCCGCAGCTCAGGCTCCCAGCGTGGCGGAGGGGGCCGGGGCTCGGGCTCCGTGGGACGGGCGGAGGGGGCCGGGGCTCGGGCTCCGTGGGACGGGCGGAGGGGGCCGGGGCTCGGGCTCGTGGGACGGGCGGAGGGGGCCGGGGCTCGGGCTCCGTGGGACGGGCGGAGGGGGCCGGGGCTCGGGCTCCGTGGGACGGGCGGAGGGGGCTGGGGCTCGGGCTCCGTGGGACGGGCGGAGGGGGCCGGGGCTCGGGCTCCGTGGGACGGGCGGAGGGGGCCGGGGCTCGGGCTCGTGGGACGGGCGGAGGGGGCCGGGGCTCGGGCTCCGTGGGACGGGCGAGGGGGCCGGGGCTCGGGCTCCGTGGGACGGGCGGAGGGGGCCGGGGCTCGGGCTCCGTGGGACGGGCGGAGGGGGCCGGGGCTCGGGCTCCGTGGGACGGGCGGAGGGGGCCGGGGCTCGGGCTCCGTGGGACGGGCGGAGGGACGGTAGAGGGAGAGATGAGCTTCCCCTGGGGCTCTCCCATGAGGTCACACAAGGGAAAACCACATTTTCTGTAAGTACGTTTCTAGTATTCAGCTAATACTTTTTATTTAAAAATATTTATCTTCATAAAATAAGTAATTTTAAAGCGAAGCACGGAGTCCTTGGCCCCTACTTGAGAGAGAGCGCGGTCCACCCAGAAGGGCGCCCTTGGGGACGGACACGCAGCCGCCCGCGCACGGTCGGCACCAGCTCAGCCTAGTGGCACGTGTGCGGGCGGACACACCCCTTATCAACTGCATCCAGACTCCGCCTGATGGCCTTCCTCCGCCTTGCAGGGGTCGTCCATGGGCCCCAGCGTGTTTGGTTGGGGTTTCATGCTGATCCTTCGCCGCTGCTTCTTCCAGGAGAACCGTGAGGACACGGTGGAGGACACGGCTGGGAAGAAGCCGCAAGAGGCCGGGCAGGGAGACCGCCGGGCAGGCCCGGCCTCGACACAGGACCCGTCCCAGCAGAGGAAAGGCCCGTGTGGGTCAGCAGGGCAGCCTTACCCAGGGGAGCAGCCCCCCCCCGCCCAGTCAGCGTGGCTCCTGCGGAGGCCGAGGTGCTGACGGGAAGTCAGGCAGAAGGCTCTGCAGGGAGTGTCCGAGGACCTTGATGTGAGCTAGCTAGTTCCCGAAGACATGTCCCCAGGATGATGGCTCCGTTCCCAGGGGGTGACCCCGCACCGTGAGAGGCCGCAGGCAGTTTCTAGGACTCTCGGAGCATGTGATCATACACAGTGGGAACAAGATTAGTAAGAAGCTGTCGCCCTGGCCGGTTTGGCTCTGCAGTTGGAGCGTGGGCCTCGGAGTAGCAGGTCGATCCCGGCCAAGGGCAGTACCTCGGCTGTGGTTCGTCCGGCCCTGGTCGGTGTCCTGCAGGTGGCGGCCAGTGGATGGGTCTCTCTCAGGTCACTCTCCCTCCCTCTCTCCCTCCCTCCTTCCCTCCCTCCCTTCCACTCTATCTAAAGATAAATGGAAAAAGTTATCCTCCGGTGAGGATTAAAAAAAAGAAAGAAAGAAACGGTCCCTATTCTCTGATGTCATGACCTGTACACTGTTGGTGTTTCTCCTAATTGCATGTAGTAGGTTTTTCTCTCTTCTTGACGTTTCTTCCTGTCACCTGATTAGCTTGGTCTTGGCTCTGACCCACTTACCACACAGCTGCATCCAACATACCAGCTAGACCATCACCATGACACAATGTAGCACTTGGTAGAGTCACTGTGCTTTAGTGTTCCAGAACCCTAAAACATGGTAAGTTTTTACCAAAGGGCTTAAGGGAAAGTACAGAAATTAAGTAGTACTTACCTGATAAAAGGGAGTTTTGTGTAGAAAGAATAACGAAAACACAGAAAGAAAAGATGAAAATAGGGCCTGCAAAGAGTCTAATAATAGGGGGAAAAAAAGGAAAAAATCTTGAATTGTGAATCTATGCCATCTCCTTACACCCTGTAAAGAAATTGAAACAGAATACCGTTGCAGCCCTGGCTGGTTTTTCTCAGCGGTTAGAGTGTCGGCCCGTGGACCAGAGAGTCCCAGGTTCAGTTCCCGCTAAGGGCACGTACTTCGGTTGCAGTTTGTCCCCGGCCCTGGTTGGGGTCGTGTGGGTGGCAACCACTCGATGTGTCTCTCTCACATCGATGTTTCTCTCTCTCTCTCTCTCTCTCTCTTCCTCCTTTTCTCCTTCCTGCTCTATCTGAAGATAAATGCAAAAATGTTCTCAGGTGAGGATAAAAAAAAAAGAATACCATTAAAATTTATGCTATTTCTGTCACTCATTTCTCCTCCCAAACCAGCCTGCGTCAACACTGTGGTCTCTGTTTCCAGTCTCTCCTGAGGATCGGTACCTCTTCCTTGGTTTGCATGGTGTCCCCAAGTCCTTCCTTCTTAGAGCTTTCTGATTACCCTCTATTTCACTTCTAATGCTGACACCTCACTGCGTATTTTCTGTCCGAGCACACCTTCACTGTTCACCTACAGTCTGCACTCATCACTGGTCAAACTGCTCAACCCCTTTGCCACGGGAAAACTGATCTTCCTACACCACCACTGTCTGTGTCTGTCGGAGCTGCTGCGGCTCACAAACAACAGGCCTGGGCTTCTCGCAGCTCCGGAGGCTGGAACCCGGGATCATGGCCCAGCGTGGTGGGGGGCTCCCCCTAGTTCCCAGCAGGCCCTGCTCGTCAGTCTCACATGCCGGTCGGGCCAGGGATCCCTCTGGAGTGGCTTCTGAAAGGGCACTGACCCCATTCATGAGGGCAGAGCACCTCCTGCCGGGGGTCGTGGCAGCGCAATGAGCTACAAGCAGCCAGGGCTTGGGCTTGGGGTTGGCATGAGAGCAGCTGCTCCTGGTCTCTGGATGCAGCCCGAGTTATCTTCTTAGCAGTTCCCTAATGACACTGTGTTTAGGTCATCATGTCCTTGAGATCACGGCTCTGCTGACCTTTCCGCCAAGCCCAGTGTTCTTCCTGTTCCAGCTGCACCTGGCTGTTCAGCCGGGATTAACACACACTCACTCCTTGGGCGGTATTGCAGCCCCACCCCCTTGTTTCTCACACACTTTGTCCTCGGAGAGCCAGGCCGTGAGAACGCGTACCTCAAGGCTACATTTTGTTCATCCACCGAACCCCCAGCCCTACAACCTCCCAAGACTCTCATTTTAACACATGGATTTGGGGAGGAGGCGCCAACATTCCAACCATATCAATCCCTGGACCATGTCACTTATTGGCTCTGGGGCCAGTACGTGCCTCCTACTGACTAAATCTTATTTATTCACATTCAATCGCCACTCCCCCAACCAGACCTTCCATGGAAGCTGGTCTTGCTTTTCTGGCATAACCGGGACGTCTTCTCTCCTCTATCACTTGCCTCTTTCTGTTCTGAACCTCACCTGCTCCTCTGCAAACATTCTTCTGCGACGTCCAAACTCAGGGCTGTCTCTACATGTGAGGAAGAAACACCCAGCCCAGCAGCCGCTGCCCCCTGCCTTCGGCTTTACTGTAAGTTACCACAAGGCGAAGAGGAGCTCATATGCTTCATCTGCATAAAGACAGAATGCCCGCGTGTTGTTGTTGTTGTTGTTGTTGTTGTTTTGGTTTTAAAAAATTTTTTTCTCTACTAATTTTTTTGAGAGGGAGAGGAAGGGAGAGGAAGGGAGAGGGAGAGATA